ACTTTTAATCCAGTCTACCAACACACTCTTCTCTCTTCTTTCTTTATCTCTTCTTTCTTCATCTGCTTCTCCAGCTTTATTTAAAAATTTCTTATCATTGCCCCCTCAGCACATGACCTTTGTACATTGTACTATTAAACTTTGTCCTGTTTCTGTTCCTTCAGATGAGCAAGAGCTCTGGGATGCAGTTTTAAAACTTCAGGAGGCAAAAAAGATTCAATTGCATCATAAAGTATCTGAGACTAAATTGCTAGAAGTCCAGTATTCTGCCTTTAAAGTTGGGCTCCATGGGTTCGACTGTATCCAAACGTGAACTGTGTTTGCTTGGTTCACACTGATACCCATCTGGTACTTAGGTGACCTGAGGTCTTAGTACTTTCTTCTAGCTAGGGGGGTTAAGCTGCCATACTGAGCTGATAATAAGCTACGTATGTGAGTCCCAAAGGGACTAGAGTGCTGCTCAGCCATCGTGCGTGGCCTAGTGAAGCAGTTCTAGCAGCATCCCTCAGCTTTGTGCTGAGTGGACTGCCGCTTATGCAGGGCACCTCTAAGACTCCTCTTGGAGTACAGAGGCATCCATCACTACCTGGAGACTTAGTGTGCAAAAAAAAAGATATTTTCCAGGGCTCAGCTAAAAGGTCAGATGTGTATTCTTTGCCCCACTTAAATGCCGGAGAGCTGCAAGGCCTCCCTGATGGCTGTGGTTCTCTGAGAGCTTATATGCAGCAGTCCAGAAAAGTTCATGATCTTTAGAAATTCTAGCCAGAAAGTCACTGTCTACAGGGACAAACCAGAACGTCTGCACCCAGGTAGAACGAACATTAGATTGTTGCCGTTCCTCCAAACATTGCAGGAGATACACCTTCCTCACTATTTCCTTGGTTTGTAGGGACTTTTACTTAATACCTCAATAGGAGAAAAGGAGCTGTTCAATTATAACAGCTGAGTAGCTGAAGCGTGACTGCAAAGGTGAGCTTGTAACATGAATATGTGGCCAGAAGATGTCAATGCTGAAGGTGAAACAAGGAGAAGGATGCATTGAACTTTTATTTCAGGAGAAATTTATGAGTGTTTTGTTTGCTTTACAGTAAGATTTCTCTCAGGATTGCTAATCATATCTTGCATTTGTGTACAAGTGCAAGGCTTCAGACATACTTGTGTGTATATGAGATGGTGATCTCTTGCTCAAAGTAAAGGATGTTCCATGATTCAGAATTCCTGAATGCAAATCTCTTTTAACTGGTAAGTAGCAATACACCAAGATGAACACCATAAACATTAAAAGCCTTTTCTGAACGTTTCTAATGCTGTGCAGACTTAGAAGGCAAGCAATCATACTCTCCAGGCCTCCTCGTTCTCAAAAGCTGTCGTTGTGATACACAAGCTATTCATTTATCCAAAGCATTACCTTTGCATTTACCTGGGCTCATCATGCCTGTATGGAGCGGAGGTTACCTCGTGTATTTTGTTCTTCTAACTCAGTGAAAGACAAAAGAAATGCCAGGTGGACTTCTGAGGTTGAGAGGAAGGTAAATGCACAGGATGTTTCAACAGTAATGCAGGAACTGCACAGGCAGCTCTACAGGCTTTTACATTCCTGGATAGAGTATTGCTTTGTGTCTTTCTCCTTCTTTATGTTTGTTGCTAGCAATGCCTTTCCTCTGAATGAACTCTGTAATAAGTGATGTTGCCACTTGGGAGGATGAAGGGAGGCAGATAAATAACGAAGGATCTAAGATGGCCAGTAAGATACTAGCAGGTGTTGCGAGAAATCAGTCAGGCAAAGCAGGGGGAGACAAAGATATAGCTTACATGTTGGACAACTGTGTGTTTGCAGTCCAGATCTAGGGCCTGGCCAAATCCTGAGCATGACACACAGACCCTTAGATTTTAATGCCTCCTAGAGCGATCTATTTGCAGACCTGCAGAGGAAGGCAAAAAAAACTAGTAGAAGACACATTATGCATCAAGAGAAATAAAAAATCTTTCCGAACTCCAGTGAAAGCCCTGAGGCATGGGATTAATATAACTATAATGCCAATCAGCAGTGGTCTAGTCTCTGTTCTTCCACATTTGTGCATATCAACACATCAAATGTCAAGGAATTTATAAGTTTAACTTTCCATCTTCAGGGATTCTCCTATTCTGTTGTACAGGCATGTCCATCGGCCTCTCAGGCTCCGTCTTACATGACTGAAGGGTACTGCTTCCATATGCAGCGTGGAAGAGTATTTCAGTCCTTCATTCATCAGAGAGCTCGAAGCCTTCTTTAAATTTTCAGTTCAGATACACTCAGGATCACTCACTGTACAAGCACTTGATCACGTCATGAAGTCAGTGTCCCTCTCTGAGATTTAGTTCTGAAACATAAAGAGTTACAACCTCCCCGTTCAGTCTTCCCTGGGCTAGACTAAACAAGACAAGATCTTCTAATTCTTCCAAGAAAGAGGTACATTTCGTTCCCCTGAAACATCCCATAAATGCTTCTTTGCACCTGTTCAATTTAAGTAACACTTTCTAACATAGGTGGCTAAACCTGCGCTCAGGCCTTACAGCTCTCCTGCAAACAATACGCCTCTCAGTTTTTAACTGCGCCTTAGGTAACTTCTTTCTTTGCAATGAGAAAACCACTGTCAGGAAGTAACGCCTTCTTGGTAGCCCCAAATAAGAATGAATTGACACTGCCCTAGCAGCTGGGAGCTCTGAGTCTCCAGATAGCGACAGATGCCTCCCTACTCCAAGAAGAGCCTGAGAGGTGCCCTCCATCACCCGCAGCCCACTCTACCTGAGGTTGAGGGCTGCTGCTAAGCCTGAGCTCTGAACACTGTCCTGTTAACTAGTCAGTGCACACTGGCCAAGCCTGAAAGCAGCTCTCCAGGTAAAGGTGTAGCAGAAATATCTGCCAGATGTCTATTTTTCACACCCAGATGTCCATACCTGCCTGATTCTGAGGTCATTGATCACTGTAGATGTGTTTGCGCGCCGTTAAGTGGAGCAACTGGTCCTGTTCCAAAGTAAGAATAGGGGAGAAGTGTCTGGGAGACTGCAGACTAGTTCAACCTGGCTTCTGCACCTGGCAAATTGGTAAGAAAGTGTAACATGTAGAACCAGTAGACACGTTTCTGCTGTATGCAGAAGAAGAGTCAATGGGGTTCTATAGAGAGAGATCATGCATCAAAATGCAATTTTTACAGAACTACAGCAGCCCGTTTCCAGGGTAGGTTACTCTCCGAAACCATAGAAGACAGTGTTTTAGGCCACTCCTGGGGAAAAGGAGAATATTTACTTGAAAAAGATTTTGTGGAATATAATGCTGCTATATGCATAAACTGTCCCTTACTTTACATCCTCTGCACAACGGCTGTAACTACACTTTAGTTCTTGCCTTCACTACCCCTCAGTTCAAAGCATTTATTGCGGGTTTTTTCCTCTTTTCCAGTCTCTGAAGGAAAAGAGAGGAGTGGGGACGAAGATTCTGGGAACTGGGGTTTCCCGCCTGTGCCACGCACAGTCCCAGGAGGATGCACCTACGCAGTCTGGAGGGGAGCAGGTCTGCGAGCGAGGGACAGGATGTATCTGCTGTGCCGAGGAGACAAAGGTCGCCTCCTCATTACCCCCACACAAACAAAAATACAGGAATACATGTACCCGCCCACGCACTTATATGTAGACATATAGAACTTTACCTACTTCACCCACCCATGATCACATACCGTTTCATGCATCTATCTACAGTTCATCCGTGGCGCGGTAATGTGTTTCGATGGGTTATACAGGCGCGAGGAATACCTGCGGGCAAACACGTGCATGTGCACTCGTGTCTTGCCCTGTGTGAATATCCTTGGGTGGCTGCGCAGGCGGCGGGGCCCGGCGCCG